GTCAACACACATTCTCCATTTTCCATTATTCTTTTTAACAAGTACAACATTTGACAGCCAGGTGGAGTACCGGGCTTCAGAAATAAAATTTGCCTCTAGGAGGTCCTTTACAGCTTTTTCAGCAGCCTCCGTTTTTTCTGGAGACTGCCTACGCCTACGTTGTACTACGGCCTTGGCGGCTGGATCAATGGCGAGGTGATGACAGGCGACCTCAGGGTCGAGTCCGGGCATCTCTGCAGCGCTCCAGGCGAAGAGATCAGCATTCTCGCGCAGACAGGCCTTGATTTGCTTCCTGGCCAAGTCGGGGAGGTCTTTGCCAATCTTCACTCCCTTGGTCGGGTCTGCTCCGAGGGGAACGAGTTCAAAATCGCCGTCCGGAATAGGTCGGAGGGGGATTTGCTCGCTGCTGGATGGCTCGTCTTGGTCGAAGCGGGCGTCGAGGGCTATGGAGTCGACCTTTGGTGGAGCCTTCTGAACTTCTACCTCGGGGGATGCTCTGTCGGGCTCTTGCTTTGTTTTCTTGGTGGGTCTGGTCCCCACGTCGACGGTATCCCGTCCCCTGGAAGCGGCGTTGAAGCACCTGCGGGCAGCGGCGAGGTCTCCCTGGATGGTGGCTACCCTTGCCCTTTTGGTATAGAACTTCATTTTTAAATGGACAGTTGAGGGTACCGCTGTCAGCTCCGCCAATGTCGGCCTCCCCAAGATGCAATTGTATAGGGACGGGCAGTCAATGACGAGGAAGCGGACCTTGACCTGTCTTGTAGCCGTTCCTTCCCCGAACGTCACCAGGAGCTCGACATAACCCCAAGGTTTGGAAGTCGAGCCGTTGAAGCCTTGAAGGTCTGAACCCACATACAGAGAGAGGTGTGAGTCGTCCAATTGCAAGGTCCGGAACAGCTGGCTGTACATCACGTCGACGGAACTCCCTTCGTCGACCAGGATGCGATGCACGTCAAAATTGGCCATCTTTGCCCTTATCAGCAAGGGGATGACTGCGTTCGGGGCTCCGCCGAGGAGCTCTTCTAAGTAGAAGGTGATGGGTTCTGACCTGCCCTTCACCCTTTCGAACGTCACAGTTTGTGGAGGAGCTGCGTCGACCAGTTCGTCCAACTTCCTCTTGGCCGAATTGATGGTGAGGTCGTTGAACCCGCCCCCGTTGATGACCATGGCGGAGGGGAAGTATTCCCACCTGCTGTGTGTCGTCAGGGGCTCCTGCAGGAGCTCGGGAATTTCGAAATCCTCGGGCCTGGTTACCGAGAAGGCGGTCTGGATTGGTACCGACTCGTCAGATGGTCGGGCATCGTCTTCGGGCTCCTTAGCTTCATGGGCGTCACGACGGGGAGCGTCGTTTCGCCTGTACTGTGCGAGCCTCCCTCCTTTGATGAGGGTTTCAATGGCGTCCTTGAGGTGGACGCAGTCCTCTGTCAAATGACCATGACTCCTATGGTATTGACAGTATTTATTTTTGTCTGCCCCTGGCTTGGCAGGAGCTGGCCAGGGACGCTTGACGCCACCGTCTTTGAAATCTGTGCTAGCACACTCCGCCAAAATACGCTCGCGGGAAGCCGTGAGCAGAGTGTACTCGGTGAAACGGCCCGAGGGGCCCCATTATTCTCGGACCTCCCGGGGTCGATCTTCCTTCCTTTTCTCCCCGGTTCGTCGGGGAAGAGGGTCTTGTCGTGAGCTGCTGCTATGATTGGGAGCGCGAGCCCTGGAGTCTCGTGCCCTGTTGGCAGCTTCTCTCTCCTCGTAGTCCATGTATGCTCGGGCTTTGTCGAGGAGAGCGTCAAAAGTTGCAGGTGGCTCAATACCCACAGCTTTTCTGAATTCTGTGCCGGGGAGGAGGCCCCTCTCCAGCAAATATCTTTTCATATGGTCCGCGCAGGGGACCTGTATTGCTTCCCGGTTGAAGCGGTTGATGAATTCCCTCAAGGTTTCATCCTGTCTTTGGATGATGGCCTCGAGGGACGCCTCGGTCTTTGGGTGGCGCCGAGAAGCTGTGAAGGAACTGATGAACTGGTTCTTCAGGTTCCGCCACGAGGTAATGGAGCCCGGGGCGAGTCCTTTATACCAGTCCATGGCCGCCTTCCTGAGATTTTTTGGGAAGATACAGCACTTGATGGGCCCCCCGACATTATGATAGTGGAGCATGGCTTCGAACCCGTCAATGTGGTCGACCGGGTCTGCTACGCTGTCATACTCCTTCAGATGTGGGGGTTTCTCCATGCCCGGGGGAATAGGAGCATCCATGATGGCCTGCGACAGGGGACCGCGGGGGTCGTCCTCGTCGCTCCTCTCCGGAGAAATAGAAGGGGTCCTGTAGTTATGTCTGGCACGATGATCGTGCTGAGATTCCCTCGAGCGTGATGCTCGGTGGCTGAAGGTCACACGCCCGTCTCCGGGGTGCCTCCTGTCGTGCCTTGATGGGTCGCGACTGGGTTCCCCGGCTGGAATAGCGGGCTGTCTCTCGTATTGGGGCCGCCTCTGCTTTGGTCGGGGAGAGGGGCTCCGGGAGTTCTCCCTGTAGTGTCTCCGCGGGGGAGAAGGGTGTCTAACTTCTTCGACCCGAGGAGGTGGAGAAGGTGGCCTCTGGTGTCTCCTCGGGGGTCGTCGATCATTTTCCAGTGCCCTTAGTCTTTCTCCTTGGGCGAATATGAGATAATTTGTTTGGTTGATGGCCGCGAACAGTGCCTGAGTCGTGGCATCTGCCCCGGCAGGAACTGGGACTTCATAGAACCGGGCAGCTCTGCGATAAGCGAGAGCTTCCGGGTCGTCTTCGAGTGCTGGAGGGGTCGTAGAGGACGACGCAGTAACCCCGTCCCTGTGGGAGGTAGGTCCAGGGGCGGTTGTCACAGGGATGGCATTGTGGCCGGGATCACCGGGATTGTCGAGGTGCCCATTCTTGTCCGCGGGACCGTTATTAGTGTCGGCGACACGGACGTGCTGCTCTTCGCGAGCTGGATCAGCCATGACAGGTAATTGAATTGAGCTTTGGTCTTTGGAATTGTTCGTTAGACGGGGAAGCTGTTTCCCACAGACGGCGCCACTGATCTGACCTGATCAGAAATGGACCGTCACGGCTGGCTCCGAGCAGAAAGCTTTTTTGAACGAGGTGGGGGGGGTACCTGCAAGACACTCCGATGCTGAAGTAAGTAGGAGTACGAGCAGATAATAGTAAGTTGAGGTTAGAATGATGAATACCTGACCCTCTGGAAACAGAGGGTATTTATAGCCCCCAGCGCTTGGCCAAGGTTCCTTCATTGGGCCGGGCGGATTTGGCCCAATGGAGGAACTGCCAGGTTCTACGTGGGTAGTGGGGACCCGCACGTGGTCCCCTTCCTGGATGTTCTGCGTGAAGTGCGGGCGGACGAAGACGCGGTCTTTCCGGAGTATCGTTGGGGGAATGGTGGACTGAGTCTGCCCTAGTTGGGATGCTCGAGACAACGTCGGGCTGGACAGCAGGGTGTCGAGCTGGACGTTAGGACGTCGAGCTGGACGGCAGGAGGTGGAGCTGGGCATCATCACGTGGAGTTGGACAGCGGGATGTCGAGCTGGACATCAGGATGTCGGGCACGGAGGTGACCCCTTTGCTCGGCGTGGTCCTTAGTAAGTCCCTTTGGACTGGGCCTCAGCAATGCTTTTGGGCCTGTCGGGCCCAGTCCAGAACAGGCATTCCAAACTGTTTCAAATTGTATCAAAATTAGATTCCAAATTGTATCAAATTAATTTTCAAACTGTTTCAAATTACATTCCAAGCTGTTACATTTCAACATAACCAAAACCAATCATAATATTTCATGTCAAAACAAACTTACAGACTAAACTCATCACATTAAAACACATGTAATTTATACTCTCAACACTTATAATCTTTCAGGAAAAAAACATTCACAATTACAGAAATGAGAATACACAATATTTTCCTATTTCTGTTACGTTTCTCCACTTTCAATTTGCTCTTCAAAATCTTGTTCTTCTTTCTTGATTCTTCGTACAACTCTTTCATGTAGCCCATAGAGGCCATAACTTTGACCTCTGAGTTCATCAGGCTTGCATCTTCATTTAGAGATTTGGCTCCATAGTTTTCATCCCATACGAACAAATCGCATGTGTCAGGGGACCTCCAGAAAGGACATCTCCAAAACAATCTCCATTTGTTTGGACTGTTCTTGCATTGATAGGAAACCATCAGGACTTGGCACCCACACTACTTACCAATCACGACTTAACAGATGAAGAAGACATTTGCAGACTTGAAACTGTAACGAAATCGCAACTTGACTTGAAACTGTAACGAAATCGCAACTTAACAGATGAAGAAGAAGAAAGGGTTGGCTCACGACGGCTAGAAGAAATTAGGGTTGCAGATGTACAAATGTTATACAAAAGGGAATTACCAACGTATCCAGCTAAAAAAATTATTAAAAAAAATATTTTTTTCACCTGTCAAGACACGTCAACAATCATTAGTGAGTTTTAATGTTCGGGACTGAAAATGTGGATGAAAAACTTTATAGAGACCGATCTTTAATAAAAAAAATTTACAGAGACTAAAATTGAAATTCGCTATATTTATAAGAATCAAAAACATATTTAACACAAAAAAAAAAACAATGAAGTCCCATTATTATCAATATTATTATTTTATTTCCACATTGTAGAAATAAAATTATGAATGCTACTAACTCATTTTCTTTCCAAATGTAAAAGTACAAGACATGAAAAGCTCAACCCAATTGCCACATTGAAAACACTAACCATTTATTTCAAAATGAGATGAAATAAAGATGATCAATCTCATAGAAATTCCAAGATTTATCCTGTTCACAATTTAAAGTCTCACCTACCATTAAATATACAAGACAATCAACAAGAAAAATACACAAGACACTACTACATCTTCTATGTACACAAGTTATTTCAAAAGAGATTACATATTCTAATCCGAAGAAACTTGCGGTACAAGCAAGTTATCATTACTATGAGATTCGAAGTTTCTTCTAACGAGGTTGGTGAATTCTTTGAGGTGCACACTTGAGGTTAACATATTGTGGTGGCTTCTCAAAGTGCTTTGATCCAACAGGTGACTTGAGACCCCTTTCATTTGGGGACAAGATCTTCAGAAGAGCCAAAGCGTCCTTGTTAACACCTGATTAAGAAAGAGATCAAATATGAGACATTACATTTTTATGTATTGTACCAAATTTTCAATTAATTAGCTTCAATGCTTACCATGAAGAGGCTTCTTTTCCTCAACAGGTTCATCGATAACCGGACACTCTTGAGCTTCGTCGGACATCACCAGTTTCTCAAACTCATTCTCTAGAAAATTGAAGTCTTCTTCTATGCCAATATCAAAAGTTTCTGCCAGCAGATTTTCTATATCATCATTTGTAGTATCAATACCTTCACTTGCTTCAAAATCTTCCTCGTTCTGGCTCAACCAATAGTTATGAAACCATGGTGAAGATTTCACAAGCTCCCACCATTGAGGTGAAAAATCCTCCACTTGACGAAATGCAGCAGGTACGAAGAGAGGAGCATTCGGATTCAGAGCCGAACTTCTTTTAGATACCAATGCCATTAGAAATTGTCAGCCAAATACAATAACTTCAGCACAATCCTACATAGTATGCATCAAGTATATCAGTTTGCATTTACATAAGAATACAATATTATTGTCAATCTCGAATTACAGAAGAAATTCACATGTAGGTTATGTAGGTTAGGGAATCAGGTATGTCCTAGCAAGAAGAACCAGTTGATGTAAGCCTAGAACAGACAAAGAAAAATATATAGTACACCACTAAAACACCGATTTCAAATATAAGTATGCTAATTACTTAGAACCTATGAAGCTCATAGGCCTCCTCTACAAGTAGCGGTGTCGCAGTCAGTCACAAAAATAGTGATTTCAAATATAAGCATGTTGATTATTAAGAATCTATGGAGCACGTACACCTCCTACCTCCTCTACAAGTAGGCGTGTCGCAGTATCGACACACATCAGTGTCACAAACTTGTATGACACTCACGACATTAGTCGACACTCATAAAACACTTCTTTAAAATCTAAAAAAACACTTGCTTCACATCAGTATTCCCAAAATCAAGATCAAAGCTTTGATCTAAACCCAACTCCTCCCAGAACCACTTCATCTTCTGTTACATTCTTACTTCAAACCAAAAACAAAACAAAAACAAAACAAAAACAAAAACCTTGCAAATCCATCATGATGAAGCTAACAAAACCATGATGTATCCAAGGTTTACTATCTGATCTGAAACACAGACATCACGGAGAAAGTCAATGAAAAATCACAGCATAACAATTAACAAATGATCACAGAAAAAACATCACCCAAAAATATCACATACAAGGGTCACAGAATCTGAGCAAAAGAATAAAACCCATCTAAGCAGAAAAATCACATACAAGAAAAACTTAACCCAACTATGCAACTTGCAAAAAAAAATCATTTTTTCTCAATAGATCAACAAAGGGTCACAGAATCTGACCAGAAAAAATAAAATAAAACCCACCTAATGGACAATCAAAAAAATCATTTTTTTTTCAAAAGACCAACAATAGATCACAGATATTGAACAAGAAATAGCATCAAAAAAATTAGATAATACTCCATTTATTTACCTATTAAGAGTGTTTTGCAGAGTGATGTTATGATTGTTTACAAAAATCACAATCACAGAGTGAGTTGAAAAAATGGAAAATGGTGTATATAAATTTTCTCAGTGGAAAATAGATAAAGAAGGAAAAAAGACAGGGCTAGGTTCGGGTTAACGGAAGCTGAGGTTCGGAAAGAGGTTAGTTTTGCTTTTTTTGAGGTGTGGACCCCACCACGTGGGTGGAAAGTGATGAGAGTGGTCGATGGTGGGGAGAGAGTGATTGATCGGACGGTTGAGAAAGGAACAAGTGGGGTAGATATTTTGGGTAAAGAAGAGTCAATGATGACTTGGATTGTTGATAAGGGCGGCTTGAGGAAAAATAAGGTGTGTGTGGTTGCATAATTGCACAATGCGGACTCGCAATGATTAAGGTTAAAATCCATTTATTACGTTCTTATCTATTATCTATCTATAAAAATCATAGTTCCTGGAAATTACCACAACACCACAGCTGATAAAATCCATTCTTGGTCTATTGTATTGGGGTATAATTGGAAACTCCAAAATATCTTGCACCACATTCATTTGAATCTGATGTGGCACTCCCACAATTTTTCACCACATTTTCAATTTTTGTTTTTCAAATAAATCCATGCCAAACCATTATGCCTCTCTTCCTCTTCCCCATGCCAAACCATTATTCCTTGCCATTCATTGTGCCTCTCTTCCTCTTCCCCATGCCAAACCATTATGCCTCTCTTAATCAGAATTCAAATTCAAATGGAACCCCAAAAGTGTTTCACTCTTTCTTCATTGCTACAGACGTTCCAGTCGTTTTCCATTGCTTAACACCTTTCTGTCTCTGCGCGGTTACGAATTGCTGCGTGAGGATGGCGCGCCCAATCGAGTATATCAGTAGCATTGACGATTCGAAGGATTTGTGGAAGGTTGCTGTTAGATGTAAGCATATGTGGTATGTTACCAGTTCTCAGAATAGAGAGCACTTAGAGCTTATTCTGTTTGATTCAAAGGTATAATACAATCTAAACGTTTCTGCTTTGCCATTCTGATTTTGTTGTAACAGTACTGGTATATGATACTGATTTCAAGATGTTTGTATTTTCACAGTTGGATTTGATTCAAGCCATTGTGCCATCTTATTTGGTATCAAAATTCAAAACACAACTTGAAGTTGGTTGTTCCTACATAATGCAGAATTTCAAAGTTTCCAGCAATGATTTCTCCTTCAAATCCACTGATCATAAGTTCAAATTGATTTTCTGTGGTTCAACTTCCGTCAAAAAGGTCCAACTTGCTGACATACCTCTGAACCACCTCAAGTTAATTGGAATAAATGTTATTATTGAGGGTAAATACAGAACGAATTTGTTATATGGTGAGTTACATTTTTACTGTTATAATAGAACGCATTGTATTGTGACTTCTCCGTTATCCATAACTGTCTGTGGTGAACTTTTGTGCAGATATAATTGGTGGGGTTACTGAAATATCCCAAGCCCAGATAATTCCTGATAACAACAAAAGCAAGGTTGTGTTTTCATTAACTGATCTGAGGTAGGTGTTTCATTTTGTTTGTTAACATTGATGCTGATAAATATAAAAGTCTAACATGTTCATGTTGTTTGTTTTGTAATTCCTGTCAATCAGCAAACATCATGTGCAATGTACTCTTTGGGGTAAATTAGTTGTGCAACTGAATGAGTATTATACGACTCATAAGGCTGATGGTAGTATTGTTCTCCTACTTATGAATGCAAGGATCAAGGAACCTCAAGGTATGCTATGTGACTATTTCTTATTATATCCAATTATTATATCCAACTTTAAGTGTTGTCATTTATAAATATCTCAATTTTCAGGAAATTATCCTTTAAATGTATCAAATGCTTGGAACGGCACAAAACTGCTCATCAATGATTTGTCTATTGAGGAGGTTAAAAACCTTAAAGAGAAGTAAGTGATTTTATTATGAAGTTATGAATTAGCAACCTATGATTTCTAACAGCCTGTTTTCATTCTGATCTATGATCATCAGACTTAAAGATGATCTGCCGACGCTCTCATCCTCGAGCATGCAAATGGAAACCACAAATACCTCTGTTTTTTCTGATTTGGACAAATTTGTATGGAAAGCTGAAGTGTTGAGTCTGTCTGATATTGCATATTTGCAGACAGTAAGTTGCTCTTTAATACATGATTGTCTTAGATTGAGGAATTACACAGACTGGGTTCTAATCCATTTTTTGAGACATCATCCCATCTTTCTGTTTCAGGAAACTACATGTGTGACTGTTGCGACTCTGGAGAAGTTTGAATGTGGGCAGTCAGGATGGTATTATGATGGATGTAGTGAATGTACCAAAAGTGTGACTTTGAAGGATGGAAAATCCATGTGTTATTCCAAACACATGAGTTCTGAGCCAGTCCCAAGGTAACTTCTAAGTATTGCATATCAATGATTATCATCATATAACCAAACGCTTCTTTACTGACAATTTCTTATTTTGATCACGCATGGTACAGGTTTAAGCTTGAAGTGCTTGCCTCCGATGGAAAGTTAAAATACAAGTTCGTATTTTGGGATGTAGATTGTGTAAAGTTGATTGGGAAGTCCGCCCTTCAGATGAAGTTGGATTTGATGGAGGTATTTTCCATTTGGCTAATATGTAAGTTAGATAATTACCACATAAATAACATATATTGTTTTAATCATTTAGACTGGAGATTTTGATCCCCTTGAATTCCCTTATGAACTTGATGTGATGCTGAAGAAGGAGTTGGCTATAAGAGCAGTGTTTCAACCAAACAAGGCTAGTCTTTCTGTAATCGGATTTAAGGCAGATGAAGTGCTATGTACCAAAATAAAGGAGAGGTTTAAATGTGAAGAGGTACTGATGTACTCATGTTTTACTGTTGTTAAAATCAGTATCATGTGCATTGGATTGTTTTAACAATTGTTTAAAACTTGCAGCACACTTCAAAGATTGTCGTCTCAACAGATGACACTCGGGATGATATGCATACAGCATCGGTATGTTTTAAATAGGAATGACCTATTACTCTTGCCATCACATTTTGAACAATTGTCTAACGTTTATTTCTTGCGTTTTTTAACTTGCAGTGTACTCCGACCATCAGCACCTCGGAAAAACAGTCTCATGCTGATCCACAAACAGTTTCAGTGCGTCTTTTTTTAGCTTTCAACATTAACAAATTAGCCTATTAAAAAATGTCTTACTTCCTTTTTTATGCTACTGATTTTGTAATGACTCTTTAATGGCAGGATCCGTTATCAATCACTGCAGATTATGACCCTTCAGTTGCCAACTCTGCACTTACACCGTCAAAAAGATCTATTCCTGAGACAGTTGAAGAACTCGACAGTGCCCAACTATCGTCCACCAAGATAATAAGGGACATCAAGCTGGAGAAATGATGCAGTCAATTATCGTCGACGATTTATTTTTACTTTAAGCTGTTTTGGACAACATTGCACACCTAATTTTGATTCATGTAATGAAATATTTCTGGTTTACATTTTGTTTATTCTGGTTTATGAGGATTTGATTTGTCATTCTTGCTTTTTGTTTGATCCTTTTGACATTGTATATGAAAGAATGATATGATTTTAGTCATTTAAGCTGCAAAAAACTATGCATAATTTACACTACAAAAAGCAATATGATGTTGGTAATTCCTTATTTTGTTTAATATAATAAACTTATTATGGACAAAAATGTTTCTCTTTATGTCTTGATGCTGGACAATCCATATTGTTTTGCATACTTTATGCATAATACACGGTAGTATATCATCATACTGTACATTAATCTATAAAACTGATACATGAATAACAGATTATGCATAGCAGAAATCCATGATACTTGATTAATATAAATTGTTACCGGATAATACCAGAAACGATATGCAATTATC